GTTGTGAGGATTGGCTATTTCCAAAGTATATGTCACATTGCATATGGTAGAAGTTGCATAAACAAATTTATTAGCCTGCATAAGTACTTGAAGTTTATTTGCTGGAACTTTGATCTCAACTTGTCCTCCATTGGCATGTGACTACTTTATCAACACTGTCTAAGTCTGAGGTTTTCAACTTCAATTCTAATCTCAGAACTAGCATGACTATAAATTCCAATGGTGAATTCAAATAGTAATACTTTAGGAAAAATTAGAATTTGTTTTGGGCTTGTTTGATTCTTGAAGGCCAGTTCTCCATTGGCGAAGGCAACCTACTAGTCTTTCATAACTTGATGAAATTGTCTACCTACAGTTGGCTTCATGGGCATATGATTTGTACAATCATAGCAAGCCCTATATAGGAAAGACCGTGGGAGGGGTTTAGTGCTGTGCTATTGCCACCTGGAAATTCTTCATAATACTATCTTTAAGCAGGTGCTTTTTAAATGAAATCAAATGGGATAAGAAAGTTTGCACATGACTAGAGGAAATTCCTGCAGTGTAGCATGTGTCCACCTTCTTTGCTGCCCTTTTGCAAACAGCATTTCCATACTCTATGAATACAGAATTTCAGCTGGATTCACAATGTATGAGGATTCAGAGACTCAAAGTGAGCACAAAGTAAACACTGTTGAATAGCATTCTCAAGAACCAAATTTCTTTCTATTGTTTGAATGTAATAAGAAGACAATTTTGTGCTAGGAAATTTGAGCCACCAAGGCACCTCACTGTATCTTTTCTTATGTTACTTCCTTGAGCTACTTAATCATATGGAAGGAGAGGAAAAGATAGGACAAACTATAGTTCCTTTACCTCTAAGTCTGCCTTACTCAGGAGTAACCTAAAGGTAGGAAGAGTTGGTAGGAAATGAAAGTAAAACAGTTGATATTTTTTCCTTCATCTCTACTGTTCTCATAAGGACAAAATGCACATGTAAATAAGCTCTCAAATACAGATTGTCTAATTTCAATGATTCCACAGTTATAGCTGGCATTGCAAAATGTAACAATGAATAATAAAATTCATACAAATTATTTAAAGTTTTATATTTTCTAAGAAGGCCATTAAATAACAAATAAAAATCAGTATAAACTGAGACAAAGATCATGAGAAAAAGGAAAAGCCTTCATTTCCAGGACTCGTTTTCATCTTTTTGAACAAAGGGCCCTGTATTTCCACTTTTCACTGGGTCCCAAAAGTAATGTGCCTGTCCCTGTAACTGCTCTCTCTTCTGTAGTCTTGAGTGGAGAGCAGCCACTAGGGAGAAATTGAGTTTTTGTGCTGTTAGGAAGTAAGGGACAAATGAGTGAACTTTTTTTCATAATGAAAATGTTTGTTTTTTAAATTCAGAAAATAGTAGTAGCCAACTGGCTTGAGGCTTTCTCCTTGCCCCGCTAGCTTCTGTAAAATTTTTAGGTGTGATTTTTCCATGCTTCTGGGAAGTCAAAAAACTCCAAAGTACTTCTGCACTAAACATAAATGATATATTTACCTTGGGATTCCTCTTTCTGAGACTGTTGAGTTGGGCTGCTCTTATAATTTATTTCAAGTCCACACTCAGTTCCAGAGGTTTTATTAAGTATAATAAGGAAAAGAGAAGGAACTGATGTGAGCTGGATGCTGGTCATCAAGTTTATGAACTGAAGGACCGGTGTTATCCATTAGACATTGTAACCCAACTCACAACTAGAGGCAAGAAATGGCCTAAAGTGCAAATTTTTTTATAAAGTGACCAGTCAGGGGAATTTTTAAGTTTCTAGAAGTTTTGGGGGAGCAAATTTGGGAAGAGCATAAAATGGAACCTCAAAGATTCTGCAAGATGGCAACAGAGTGTAGATTTGGGGTTCACCTCCTCCAAACACACACAAGAAAATGATACTAAAACCCTGGAGGAAAAGCTGATTATCTGCATATATTATAGGAGCATCAGCCTGACTTAAAGGGTAAAAAACACTTTAAGTGAAGTTCATATAATGTAAGGGTGGTATAGTAATGTCCATAAAAGAAAGGAGTAGGGTCCTCCCCGGTTGTGCAGCGGGTTGAAGCTCACATTGTAGGCTAGGCACAGCCACTTGAGTATAAGTTCAATCTCCAGCCCTGGAGGTTATCCACATGTGTGGCTGACCTCTCTTGATCCTCCCACTGTTCCCCTCAGCAGTGTATTTCAGTATATCTGCCTGTTCTGCTTCCCATTCTGTCTCTAGTGAATCCTCTCACCGCCCCTGTACCTCTGGCCTGTACCCCAGTTCTGTATGCACAAATAAATAAAATCTTTAAAAAAAAAAGAGTAGCTGCAATACAGAACCCCTTGAGTTATTGCTGTTGGTACCCACCAATCAGAACTCCTAACTTGACACTATTCTGGATAAGGGGGTACACAAGCAAGCACCCAGAATGGTGGGTATATTACAGATGTCAGGGCATAGAGTAAGGACTACTGGCCTAAACTGAGGCTCATGGCACAGAACAGCTGTAGTCTGAAATGGGTCAAATCATCTGGATTTCACTCTGGAAGGGAGTATTGCTGAAGTCTAAGCTGAGATGTATGAAACACCAGCCACCTCTCACCCCAGGCTGGGATATCTAGAAGGCTTCCAGCCCTCACAAAGAAATTCAAATTCCTGAGTCTGCTGCAGGTGATCCTTTGATGCATATTGCTTTGGTCCTCTTATACCTGCCACTCCTCACTGGTTTCAGAACCCTGACTATTCCAACAAATTTACCCTTACTAAAACACATACAAAATGTCAACAAAAAATGAGAAGACAGAAAAACACTACAAATATCAGAACAAAAAGCCATGACAGGAGCCCAACTCCGTGGTGTTGTAGAGCATGACACAAGGGGATTTCTCGGCATCTGACTTTGTCCGTAAGTAACCTTCTCTGCATCATGTGAAACCCTATCTTATCTCTGTCACACGCCCCTTTTTCCATTCCACAATTCAAGAATAAGAACCTTGGTCTGTCCCACTTACTCTAGAATTCACACATTTATAATTAAATTTGTTCTCTCTACCCCACTGATTTGTCTCAATTTCATTTGCTTGTTTTATCATATTGAGAACTAACTCAGAGGAAGTGAGGACAATTTCCCCCTGATCCTTTTCTTAAGGGAGAAAAAGTATTTTCAGCAGAGTGAACAGCCAGTGCAAATTACATGGGCCTGCAACTGAAGGACAAGAGGAGAAGTGGCAGGAGGAGAAGCCAGAGAGGTAGTGGGAGAAAGATTGGGTTGAACACTGTGGGCACTTGAGGACTCCAGCTTCTTTGTAAAGGAGATGAGAAGTCCTTGCAAGGCTTTGAGTGCCATGCCTTCACGCCGAGATTGGATTGTGAGGAGACAGTCTTCCCAGCTATACAGGAAGGGAGATGGGCCTCAGATGAAGGTGGAGGTGCAGACGTGATGGAGTGAAATGGTGTTCTAGGTATAGATATTTTAATACTTTGTTGTGGAAAATTGAAAATATACAAGACAGAAATTAGTACCAATCAACTCCTTTCTCTCTACAGTACACCCTTCACCCAGCTGTAGAGATGGTACACATACAACCTTTATCCACTTTTACCCACCTTCCCTTATTGCATTATTTCAAACAAAATCACATATTTTAATCTATATTTAGCATGAGTTCAAAAAGATTGTATTGTTTTCCTTCATAAGAACATAGCTGCAATACTATTATTTATATCTAAGCCACACAACTGCATACTATTAGCTTATAGTACTATTGGGACTATAATCTTATAGTCCCTTAGTATTTCATTAGTGATTTTTTCCCCCCTAGTTTGATTTGCTTCAGTCAGGATCCAAACAAGACCAGCCCATTCCTTTTGATTGATATTCTCACATCTTATCTAATTTATAGCTATTTCTTCCCTCTTTAATTTTCTTGTTCTTTTCATCTTTCCCTTCCTCTATCACTCCTTCTGTTACTGCCTTTTTCTCTTTTCTTCCCTTCTCCCCTTCCTTCCTACTTAATCTCCCTCCCTCTCTGTCTTCCTTTTTTCACTTAATTTTGAAGAAACCAGGTCATTTGTCTTGTAGAATTGCCTACAATTTGGATTTTGCTGATTGCAGTCTCATAGTGCTCATCAACATACTCCCATGTCCCAGGCATTTCCTGTAAATTGATAGTTAAATCTGAAAACTTGATCCAGTTTTGATATTTTGGGACATGGATTCTCTGTGGGTGGTGAATGCTGTCATCAGGCGGCACATGATGTCAGGCTGCCTGTCTTGTGATGTTAAATAAGGGTTGCAGCATGAATCACTCATTCAAAAAGAGATTTCATTCTATTTCTGTCATTCTTCATTTTTTTTTTTAAGATTTCTTTATTTATGCACACAGAACTGGAGTACGGGCCAGCGGTGCAAGGGTAGTGAGAGGATTCACCAGAGACAGAGTGGGGAGCAGAACAGACCGACTGACCAAGTACACTGCTGAAGGGAGCAGCCAGCGGGTCAGGAGAGGTCTGCTGCACCATGTGGGTCACTTCTGGGATGGGGATCGAACTCATGCGGAAGTGGCTTTAACTTCTTAGTGCTGTGCTTTAACCTGCTGCGCCACCAGTTCTTCATTTTTTGAAAGAATTATTTTCACAACTGTTTGGTAACTCAAAGATACAGTTTTTAAAGAAAGGCATTCCTACATCCTTCACATAAGAAATAGAGACAGCAACTTAAGCTGGGATGTTCAATGTGATCAGGTTGGTGACTATATTCTAATAGGAAATATTTTTATTTTTAAAGGCAATTTTTCATCAATTTATATTTGTTTCCAATTCAAATTTAGGTTTGCAAGGTCATTACTTAACTTTAAAATTTTACAGTTTGTGTTACTTTTCTCTAATGTTAAAAATCATCTTCCCAAGTAATGTTAACATAATTATGATTTGCTTTTGAAAGTTCAACCTACAGCCTGATTCCTCAGCTCTTCTCATGATTCCATAAAGTACTTATCCTATTTTAAATTCCTTTCTCTGTAGACCACTTCGAGCAGCCCATTCTTTGGTCTGCAACTGAGTCCTGACTGCATGCCCAGGGTACGTGGGAAGAAGATGCTCGGCATTGCCCGTGAGGTACCCACACAGCCTCTCGCCGTTCAGCCAGTTGGTGCAGACGATGCCCAGGCGGTACAACACTTGTAGCTGTTTTAGGAAGAAATCAGCTACCCAGGCTTTTCTGTCTGTGTGTAAAGCCCAGTTTACCAAAAAGTGTGCTTCTATTTTTCAACAGCCCTTCTCCCTCCTTATTCCTTTCCCAAAGTCAGACCCTAGGGAGCATATTAGGTTAGTGAGAGTGGGTTCACAGGGTCTTCTCCTAACCCTGGGCCCCCACCATTTTAAGGAATCATTTCTGTGGCTGTGCTAGCTCACTTGAGTGGATGAATGAGCTGCCTTGGGAATGTATGTATGTGGTCAAGAACTGGAAAGTTGGAACTAGTTGGTCACTCCAGGGACTGGGATGATTACACTGAGCTGGGGCTTTGGATCAAGGGCCAGTCATAGGAGCAGGACATTTTCATAACCTCCCATAGAATCTTCATCCTTCGAGTTGACCTTTTCACCTGAGACATCTGAGAATTCTGTCTTCAACTCAGCATAGATAACTGAAGCATTCTGGGAAAGAACATAGAACAAGAGCTGGGAAGAGAGAGGGCTTTGAGACTGTAGGTAGTAGTTGGGGAGAAAAGAGGAAATGAAACTCACCATATCTTCGAGTGTCATTCTGGAGATACTGGCTGTGGAGGGAAAGAAAGCTCTAAGCTGTTGGCATCAGGATCTACCCATATAACCCAGTCTTCTGGTTTATTTCCCAGAGACAGGAAAACCTGAGTCCTTTACATTGTTTGCCATATTTTCCCCTCCCTGACCCCCAAATGTGTCCTATGACACATGTGATTTTTTGTTCTATTATTTCTTAACCCAGCCCTTGAAACTTCTTTTCAAGCCCCATTGGGTTGTAAAGTCCTCCCTGAAACCACACGAAGAAAACTTACTCCCTTACTTTATCAGATGTTGAAAGAGAATTTCTCTCTTAGTTTTAACTCTTGCTTTTCTTAACTTACAGAGACTCCATCCCACTCCAGACTTAAACTCTCAGTCCTGGCTTCTTGGGAATTCCCATGGAGCTCTTCCTTGGTATGCTCTAGGAGGACGTTTTCTCTTATATTACATGCCTAGTTCCAGATTTTATCACTACAGCTTCTTTAAAAAGGAGCCACAAAGAGAGAAAAAAAATTAGCAGGCATGATTTGTCAGAGCCTACATATTAGAAATTAAGAGTTTTAGAGATGATAAAATCATCAGCATCATAGAAATTTTGTGGCAAGCTAGAACCTGAAAAAACAAGATATTTAAGGTTTTTTTTTCTTCACCATATTCTTACCATAAGAACATTTGGGATTATAGATCTTCTAAATGAATAATAAAAACTATATATTCTTTCCACAAACGCAGGCTTATACATGAAATTTTGCACACAACTTTAAGGGTTTCAAGCAAAGAAGAAATCTTGCAACAGATCAGAATATATCAAATAATGAATTATAACTAGTCCATAATGGAGTTCTCAATTTAAATGGTGTTTTGGACAAATATGTGAGAACAAAGCATGAAAGACAAAAAATAGTCAAGGAAATTACACGATGCATCAACCCAGGACCTCCATGGAATTGCAAGGAGTTAAATCTCAACACTATGAAGCTCTAAGTAGTCACTGCAGGACAGAGTTCAATTCCCAGCCAGGGAGCTGACCCACATGGCACAGCAGACCTCTCCTGTCTAACCTGCTGCTCCCTTTAGCAGTGTAGTTCAGTCAATCTGCCTGTTCTGCTCCCCACTCTGTCTGCGGAACCCTCACACCCCTGCACCTCTGGCCTGCACCCAGGTTTTTTTATGTATAAGTAAAATATTAAAAAAAAAAAAGATGTATTAACCCAAACAGATTGCAGCAATTCTAGTGCTACCATTCAAAGTGTCAGTGAATGGCTCAGAAAGGAAAGTGATGGAAAATCTAGTGATCTATATCGGTCAAACATAGTAATATGCACTATAAGGTAGAACACTTCAGCTCAGTGTCATCTTCAAATGGCATTGTGACCTAACATAATTTGTAAAACAAGCTCAGAATCAGATTACAATTGCACAAACAGAAACGTATTGGGCATCTTAAATTCCCAAGTGAGGTGCCCTATGCAGAAAAGACACACTATGAAATAGGAGGATATGTTTGTCAATCTGACAAGGCATTAATGTATCTGATAAGGGTTTACTGTCCAAAATATGTAAGGAGCCCAGAGGCCAAAAGAACAACAGAAATAACAACCACCTAATTAAAAATGGCAAAGAACTGAATAAGTGTTTCTCACACGAATACATACAAATGGGAAGCAAGATGGTGGCAGAGTGAGGATAATAAACTTGCTACCTCTTGTGTGAACAAGACAGATAACCCTCAAAGTGGACCATAGTCATACAGACTATGTATGGCTGATGCTTGTATGTATCAGCCCAGCTAAGAACACTCTGGACTTGCTAGGTCAAGGATAATTGAGTGAGGGAGACACAGCAATTGGGGAGCTCTGATCCTGGAATGCCCAAGCAGCTTGAAAGTGCCTCAGATGAGAGGCTTGCAACCCTCCTAGCCTGTGCCTACCCACACAACCAGCACGTAGAGCCCAGGAGGTAAAGAGAGAAGGCTAGAGGGCTGGTGCTTCTGGGACGCTTGCAACTCTTCCACCCTCTGCACCCCAACCAGCACAACCAGCACATAGAACCCAGGAGGTGAAAGGAGAGGGCTTGGTGGCCTGCTTGGCAGCTGGCTTGGCAGTGATGGCTCAGCAGCTATGGAATAAGCCTTGTACATCAGAAGGCTAAAAAGATCAACAGGTGGGCAAGTGGAAGCAAGAGTGCTGCTACAGTATAGGCTGGCTGCCAGGGAGACTAGCTGGGGAGCCTCCGTTTGGCTCTCCCCTCCCTGAGTGAATAAGCCCAGGTCCGAAAACTTACTGGTGGAAGTCTCTGGCACCACCTAGTGACCAAAACAAAATCACATGTCATACTCACCTGAAACCGGGTGGCTTGCCTGAGGGACTCATCAGGAGGAGACTTTCGGGCCAGCTCTTATACCAGAGGTCTCTAGATACCACAACCCTCTAGTGGAAAGAAACCTCAGGAGTTCTTTTATTTGCCCAACTACCTCAGGGGACTAAAAAGAAAGCCAAATGAAACTGCAGACTGGTAAAGTTACTCTAGCCAGTCGTAGGGTGCTCTCCAGGGGACAAGTCTAAAACCACAAGGACTAGCTAACTGAGAGCCATCAGATGTTTAAGAGGCAATTCTCCTCTACTTATGGATGTGTTTGTTCCTTGTTTGTTTTGTTCCTGCAATGCTCAGCTGGTAGATTTATATGCCCTTCCTTCATTTTTACCCTGGTTTTCTGGCTCCTCTAGCTTTCTCCTTCCCCTTCAACATTATTATTACCGCTGTCTCTTCTTGTTCTGGTATCTCACCTCCATTTCCTCCTCCTATTCCCTCTACTCCCATTTAACCTTCACTTCTTCCTATCACCTTCCTTCCTATTACATTTTCATATCATCCTCCCCTTCCCCCAAATCCTCCTCTTACTCCCTATTCTCTTTTAACTCCATTATTTTACAAACACATGCCTAGAAGAAGTGAGAAGTTCAACAGAGAAAATCAGCCTATCCATGCACTTCTTGCAGGCAACTCCCATAGACTAGGACTCAACGTGTTACTGGAAGAAGAAGAATCCCACAAGAGACCCCTAACTATTACTGGCTGAGATGACAGTGGAGATGGGAAAACAGGAAATCTTGGAACAAAGCACAGCTTGGAACATCTTACACAACTGAAGTGTCTGAAGCTGTACCCAGCCACAGAGGATTAGACACCAGGAAGACATATTCACACCACAGAAAGAGTAATTAGAAATCATGCCCACCAATGGCATAGGAGTACTAAGAGCAGAACAAAGCAGAAGGTGAACAAGAGATCAAGCAGGCCCCTCTGGAAATAATATAATCCAGAAAGAAACTCATTCCCCAGAAAATATTATTATGGAAATAGAAGAATACCTCCACCTAACAAAGACTTCAAAAAGGCCATGATGGAAATAATTAAAGAGCTAAAAGAACAAGTAGAAAGAGATAAACACACAATCCATGAACAGAGGAAGAGAGGGAAGGATATGAAGGATAATCAAAGGTAGGTAGAGGACCTCAAAACTCTGGGAAAAGCCAAGAAAACAGAATAGAAGAAATGGAAGAACAAATCAGCATTCTTGAAGATTCAGAAATAAAAAGAACAAAAAAAAAAAAAAGGAAAGGAAAGAGAACTACAAAGGAAAAAAACTGAAAATGCAATCCAAGAAATATCAGATACAATGAATAAAAGAAATATAACAATCATAGGTGTCCCAGAGGGTGAAGAGCGAGACTAGAGAGCTAAAACGCTATTCAAGGAGATAACTGAAGAGGATATCTTAAACATGAAGAAGGAAATGAAAATAATACAATAAGCCAGAAGAACACCAAACAACCACAATGAAAAGAAAGCTACAGCAAGACACATAATAGTAAATTTTTCAAAGGTCCAACAAAGGAAAAATTAATGAAGCTGACAAGGGCAAGAAACAGGTAACACACAAAGGAAAACAAATCAGGATGACACCAGACTTCTCTGAAGAAACATTCAAAGCAAGAAGAGAATGGAGGGATATATTCAACAAACAAGTCAACAAATTCCAAACAAGAATACTCTACCCTGAGAAGCTCTTCTTCCTCTATGATGGAAAATCAAAACTTTCTATGACAGATAAAATCTCCAGAAATTCATCACTACTAAATTCCCACTAAAATAATTACTACAAGTTACTCTAAAAATAAAATCAACAGAGGAGTGAATAGGAAGACTAGAAAAAGGTAAGGAAAGAGTCACAAAAAAGCAAATAAATAAAAAATATAGATTTCAATGTGTCAATATTAACTTTGAATGTAAATAGTCTAAACTCACCAATAAGAAGACACCAGAGTCACAGGTTGGATAAAAACACAGAACCCAGCCTTTTGCTGTTTACAGAAAGACTGCTTAACCTCAAAAGATAAACACAGATTGAAAATAATAGGATGGGAAACAATCCTACAAGCACATGGACCAAATAAAAAGCAGGAACAGCTATTCTCAGATCAGATAAAACAGAATTCAAACTAAAAAAAAGTAAAAAGAGACACAGACGGCCACTACATTATGATTAAAGGGATAATATATCAGGATACCATAGCAATCATTAACATATAGCCACCAAATGATGTCACCAAATATGTGACACCATAATATGTCAGACCAAAATATGTCAGACAATTATTATTATATATAAAAATGGATATCAGAGAAAACACATACATGGTAGGAGATTTCAGTACATGACTCTCACCACTGGATAGACCAACAAGACAAAAAATAGGTAAGAACATGTGAGCTCTAAGCAAGGATCTAGACCTCATGGACCTAACAGACATCTACAGGACACTACACCCAAAGAAATCTGAGTACACATTCTTCTCAAATGTCCATGGGTCATTCTCCAAAATTGATCACATGCTGGGACACAAGACAAACACTGACAGATACTCCAAGATCAAAATCATGCTATCTTCTCTGACCATGAATGCATCAAACTAGAAGTAAAGCACAAAGAGAAGGAAAGGAACACCCCTACCTCATAGAGATTAAAATCCACACTACTGGAAGATCACTGTATTAATGAGGAGCTCAAGGAAGAAAATTAAAAATACCTTGAGATGAATGACAATGAGGACACAACCCTCCAGAAAGTATGGGATACAGCAAAAGCAGTTATAAGAGGAAAAGATATAGCCATACAGGCACACATCAAGAAGCAAGAAAGATTAAAAAAAAATAATAATGTCGCACCTTAAAGAACTGGAAAAAATCCCAAAAACCAGTAGAAGAAAGGAAATAATAAAAATCAAAGCAGAAATAAATGAAATAAAAATTAAGAAAACAATTCAAAAGATCAAAAAAAACAAAAGCTGGTTCGTTAAAAAAATAAACAAAATGGATAAACTTTTAGCCAGGCTCACAAAGAAAAAAGGGGAGAAAACACAATAAATGCGCTCAAAACAAAAGAGGAGAAATCTCAACAGACACAGCAGAAATCAAAAGAATAGTAAGAGATGACTGTGAACAGTTCTATACAAACAAGTTCACAATCGAGATGAGATGGACAAATTCCTACAATTTTACAAGCACCCAAAGCTCAGCAGAGAAGAAATAGAACACCTAAACAGGCTAATTACAAGCAGAAAAAAATTGATACAGTGATAAAATCTCTCCCCCAAAATAAAAGCCCAGGACAGATGGCTTTACAAATGAATTTTGCCAAACATTCAGAAACACACTAGTTCCTGTCCTATACAAACTCTTTCAAAAAATTGAGAAAGGAGGAATACTACCAACCAAGTTTTATGAAGCCAACATTACACTATTACAAAACCAAACAAGTACAACACAAAAAAGAAAACTACAGACCAATCTCGCTAATGAACACTTTTACAAATAACCTAAATAAAATCCAAGTTAGTAGAATCCAACAAATGCATCAAAAAGATAATCTACCATGACCAAATGGGATTTACCCCAGGGGCACAAGGATGGCTCATCATTCGAAAATCAATTAATGTAATCCACACATCAACAAAAGGAAAAATAAAAACCATATGATTATATCAGTAGATGCAGAGAAAGCATTTGACAAAGTCTAGCATCCATTCATGATAAAGGCACCTGAAACTCTTGGGAGAAAAGGAGCATAACTTAACATAATAAAGTCTATAAATGACAAACTCAGCACCAAAGTCATTATCAATTGTGAAAAACTGAAATCCTTTCCCTTATGATCAGGAACAAGACTAGGATGTCCCTCTCACCAATGCTTTTCTTTCTTTCTTTTTTTTCACCACCACTTTTCAATTTAATACTGGAAGTCCTAGCCAGAGCAACAAGACAAGAAAAAGGCATACAAGGAATCCAAATAGGGAAAGAAGAATTAAAACTGTCACTGGTTGCAGCAGACATGATAATATACATAGAGAATCCCCAAAACAATGCAGAAGAACTTGTCAAAATAATAAACCAGTTTAGTAAAGTAGCAGGATACAAGATCAACAAACAAAAAATAGCTTTGCTATACACAATCACTCTGAAGAAGAAATCAAGAAAATCATTCCCTTTATAATTGAAACAAAATAGATCAAGTACTTGGGAATAAGCCTAACAAAAAGAGGTGAAGGACCTCTACAAAGAAAACTATAAAGCATTGTTAAATAAAACAACACACAAAGAAATGGAAAGAGATCCCTTGTTCATGGATTCAAAGAATTAACATCATTAAAATGGCCAGCCTACCAACAATAATTTATAGATGCAATGCTATTCTCAATGACATTTTTCAAAGAAATAGAAAAAATACTGATGAAATTCATACGGACCCACAAAAACTCAAATAGCCAAGGCTCCTCTGAATAAGAAAAAAGGGAATAGAAGAGTCACACTATCAGACATCAAACTATACTACAAAGCCACAATAATTAAAATAGCATGGTACTGGAGTAAGAACAGACATACAGACCAATGGAATCAAACAGATAACCCAGATATAAGTTCACAGCTTTATGGACACCTAATCTCTGACAAAGACTCAAGGAATATGCAATGGAAAAAAGAGTTTGCCCAATAAATGGTTCTGGGAATGCTGGGCTCCTTCATTCAAATAATAATAATAATAGAGGAAGCTAGATTAT